AAAAGATACCTGCACATGAATGTTTATCGCAGCATTGTTCACAATAGCAAGAACCTGCAACCAACCATGTTGTCCATCAAAAGAGGACTGGATTAAATAAATGTGGTACATATACACGATGGAGTACTATGTAGCCATAAAAAAGAATAAAATCATGAATTTTGCAGCAACCTGGATGGAACTAGAGTCTATAATACTGATTGAGGTTTCTGAAGTTTCTTATGAATTTTATTAGAATGAATTTGCAAAAAGGCTCAATGTCTAATTATTTCTATCTGGAAAATGAAATGCTTCTGGGGTATCTGTTACTGTATTCTTAAAGTAGGGATCCTCAGAAGATGTTAGCAGCAAACTCCTAACTATATTCAGACTCCTTGATCTGGAATAGAGCAACGCTTGGTAGGTTATTATAGATTTTACTGGTATACACATTTTACTGGTGTACTGAGTTTTTAATGGGAAGCAAGTTTTCCCAAAGGTAATAATGTCCCTTTTAAGGAAGAATTCACATAGAATATATTTACTTGGTTCAATAAAATATTTATTGAACGTATATTATTTAGCAGATAAATTACACTCAATGTAGCTAAGAAGATTGCATATATAACATAACCAATAAGCACATAAAATATGTAAATAGCATAATTGGATTTTAAATAGATGGCATACATGTATTGAAAATTAAAATGTGCATCTATATTTAAGAAGCAATCCGTTGCTCAACAGTTTCAGATTTTGAGGACAATTTCAGAATATTTATGATGTTAATGGAGCACAGTGATGGGGCTTCTCCTGCTTCACTGAGAGATTCAATTTTTTAACAGTAGATTACACTCGGAAATGAGTCTCTTAATCCCTCTTCCTTGTTCAGGAAGAAGGGATATCATTGATATTTGAAGGAAGATTAAAGTATTGGTAATTAGGAGACCATAGTTCTCTTCTCCAGAAAGAGGGTGGTGTATAAGCAAAGACGAACAGGGAAATGCCCCACAGGAGATAGTATAAGGCCGTGTGGATGGTTTCTCCTTCTACACACTCTCTTTGCTCCTACAACAAATGATGAAATGATGAATATTCATGTTGTTTCCTGTCCTATGCGTCTAAAGCTCTCCATAAGCAGTGATTCACTTTTCTCGGTGACCTATGTCAGTTCTGTATTACTTCCCTTATTCATACCACACTTAGTATGATGATCACAGCTTGAAAGTTCCTGACATTTAAAAATAAATGTGCTAGGGTCTCCTAACAATGCACCTATGGCTAGGTCTGCATTCAGAACTTTGCATGTAAATTTCTCTTATGTTTCTAATTGTGGCTGAGCTGCCATCTCCAAAGTACAACATTATGCTGCATGCATAGACCTTAGATTTTAAAAGATAATATTTTAACATCTTGTTTGTTTTACCAGTTATTCTCAATCTTTTAATTTCACAATTCAACAATCATTTCTTGAGCACCTACTATGTGCCAAACCCTGACAAATCTGAGGGATACATACATGAATGAGGCACAATTTGTGATTCTAGAAGATTAGAATCTACCACAGAAGGCAAAATATATGTAAATACCCACAATGCAGTCAGGTACATGTGCTAATAGTTGCAGATATGAGGTACCTTGAAGACACAAAAGTGAGACCGATAATATTTCAATCTATGCTGTTGGTCATTCTTTGAATCAGCTCGTTACATTCCAATAAAGAGTGCTGATTGATACCTGTAGACCCAACCCCCTTAGACATGTCTGGGGCAATTTCTTTTCATCTTTTTTTTCCTAGTAAAGTACTCCACAATCTATCATTTAAGAGAGTCTTATCTTAATATAGTTGTGCCTGGACCTTGACCCCTTATTGGAGTGTTGAGGTCTTGCCCTCATCTCTCCTGATTAACTTTCCACGAGGTCCGGTACAGTACAGCTGCCTTATTTCTCTTTAGATCACTCTCCTGGATCATTTATCATAATAAATTGTCCCTGTCTTGTTATTTTTGCCAGATTTTTCTTATTGTTGCAACTTGTTATGTCTTATTTTTCCTGTAAGTTTCTTAAAAGCAGAGTTCTCCATTTCTCAATTGCTATATCTTAGAGAAGTGCAAGACTCTTAGAGAAGTGCAGGACCCCAAATAATAAATAATGAATCGAGCATTTCACAAAAGTTTGGGATCTAAACCAGGCCCTCTGTGCTTGTGTCCTGATTCCTCCGGTGTTGGGTTCCAGGTTTCTGCTCTCTCAGATTGCTGCTGCCCAGTATGGAATACCCTCCAAGGGTCCGTCCCAGCTTAGACTTCTGCCTCAACTATTTACTTATTGTTCTCTCTGAATTCACACTATACAATGGTCTCAGTTTTCTTTGGGTTGCTAGAAAAGCATACTGGAATAGAGTCTGAGGTTTTATAGCCTGAGTTCAAATCCTGGATTTCATCTACTAGCTGTGTGACCATGGGCTAGTTAATCAATCTATGCCTCAGATTTCTCTTTTGATCTGTGTAATCGAAATGATAGCTCTACTTTATAGAACTGACAAGAGTGTTACATAATTTAGTATATGTATAACAGTAATGGAAAGTGACTATACTCAATAAAAGTGTAATACAGAAGTGTTTGGCTATAATTATTAACCCTATTATTGCATATACTAGAGCACATTGTAATTAGCCTCTTGTCCATTGACCTTTTTTTGCTATACTGTATACTTCTCAAGGGAATAATCATATCTAATTTTTATTCTATCTCTGTGTCCAGCTGGCACAAATAGGTCTGAAATAAAATTATTATTTTTAACTTGAATCTTTACCTATAACAAGATACATTTCTAATTATTTGTCTCTATGTGCAATATTCATGGAAAAATTGGCCCAACTTAACATACTTGTTATGGATGGAAATGGCCACTGTTACATTTGGAATTTATTCTCAGACATTTTGTACATTTAGACAATTCTTGGACAAATATTGGGGAAGAGATTGACAAATGGACCTTGAATTATAATTTACTTTATTCCACATATCAGCCCCATAAACCAGCTTTCTCTCTCTCCTACTTAAATTATCTTGCATTGCATTGTTTTTGAATAGACTTGGCTCTAATTTGATCTGGCTTGTGAAAACGTTGTGACTTATTTTTTTCTGGGAGTATAGATGCTAGACATTTGGCAGCAGAAAACACTGAAAATGCAAAAAAGGAAGATGGCAAAAATTGCACTTATCAAATCATGGCTCCCATTTGGAAAGTGGGATTAAAATTCATT